ATTGTCCCTGTCTTGCCTGGTTTCCAAAAGACCATTTGTTGTTTTCCTGGTCACAACTCATTAATGTCATGATAAGTCATTGCAAATGCAGACCATGCATCCCACTGGGGTTCCGCTCTACCATTTCCATTCATCAGACTTATAACCAATTACTCCAGAACACCCAACAAACCTTAGTGTTCTCTCTGCTACAGGACCATCTCAACATTTCCAGAAATAACCACCGACCCATTATATTCCTTCATTTCTCACAGAATAATAAATTATAAAAGGCACTGGGAAGTCAATTGGTGAGGTCCATATGATGTTCCACATAAAATTGAAAAAAATATTTTAAATTGTTATTCGTAAAAAATCCCAATATATGTGGTAATATTGAGATCAGTGTAAACTGTACAAAATGAAATGGTCTGATAAATAGAGGATGAATGCTATGTTTGATTTTTTCTAACAGGGACAAGATGTGGATGGTAATCAATTTCCTGGATAATGTCCAAGGTTGGTTTTCTGTTTCTATGGTATAACTTTCTTCTAGATTGTCTGTTCAGAGTTCCAACCAGCTGATGCCACATACTTGGGTGGAAGATAAAAATCTACAAGGGTATGTTTTTAACTGTGCTGATTTATTTCAAATTTATCAAGTATATTAACCCCAAGTGGTGTTAGATGGGTTACTAAAATCTTCAGAAACAAGCACAAAACTGTCAGAATAAACATAGTTCAGTCATTATCAGCAGAATCCAATCCCTGCTGTTGCATGTGAATCCTCTGGTGTGTTATTAGGTGGGATGATTGAGTAAATCCTTTCTTACACACAGAGCAGGTAAATGGCCTCTCCCCAGTGTGGACCCTTTGATGTCTCAGTAAATGGGATGTACAGGTGAATCCCTTGTCACAGACAGAGCACATGAATGGCCTCTCCCCAGTGTGAGTGCGTTGGTGTGTCAGCAGGTGAGATGAATGGGTGAATCCCTTCCCACATGTGGAGCAGGTGAATGGCCTCTCTCCAGTGTGACCTCGCTGGTGCATCAGCAGATCTCTTTTAGTTTTAAATTTCCTGTCACAGTCAGAACATGTAAAGGGTCTCTTGTCATTGTGAACAAGCTGATGTGTCAGTAGGTGGGAAGACTGGGTGAATCTCTTCCCACACACCGGGCAAATGAAAGGTCTCTCTCCAGTGTGAATTCGCTGGTGTGTCAGGAGGATGGATGATTGAGTGAATCGCTTGCCACACACAGGGCAGATGAATGGTCTCTCCCCATTGTGAACTCGCTGGTGTATCAGGAGGTGGGAAGATCGACAGAATCCCTTGCCACAATCAGAACAGGTGAATGGTCTCTCACCAGTGTGATTATGCTGGTGCGTCAGCAGCTCATTTCTGCTTTTAAACCTCTCTTCACAGTCAGAACATTTGAAAGGTCTTTTATTGGTGTGAATACGTTGGTGTGTTGTAAGATGGGATGAGCAAGTGAATCCCTTCCCACACATGGAGCATATATATGGTCTCTCTCCAGTGTGACGGCGTTGATGTATGGTGAGTTGAGATGATCGAGTGAACCCAGCCCCACAGTCAGAGCACCTGAATGGTCTTTTATCAGTATGAACACGTTGATGGCATGTCAGTTCCTCTGAGCTTTTATAACATTTCCCACAGTCTGAGCATTTAAAAGGTCTCTCATCCGTATGAACTCGCTGGTGCTTCAGCAGGTTGGATGAATTAGTGAATCCCTTCCCACAGTTCGAGCAGGTGAATGGCCTCTCACCAGTGTGAGTGTGTTGGTGTCTCAGCAGATCCTGTTTACTTTTAAATGTTTTCTCACAATCAGGACATTTAAAAGGTCTCTTGTCAGTGTGAACATGCTGGTGTCTCAGCAGATGGGATGACTGAGTAAATCCCTTCCAACAAATGGAGCAGGTGAATGGCCTCTCTCCAGTGTGAACTCGCTGGTGTCTCAGCAGGTGGGATGAATCAGTGAATTCCTTTTCACAAACAGGGCAAGTGAACATCATCTCACCACCATGAATGAACTCCCAGCTCAATCAGGTAATTAACTTATTTACCACAGACACCCCTGCCATTTACACAATTCTCGCCCATGTGACTGCAACTGTGTATCAACAGGTTAGCCAACCAGTTACTACTTCAATCACAAACAAAATATGTGGACAGTAGCTCCCGGCTGAGCATGGTGCTTTTTGTTTCCATTTTTGATGACCAATGTTGCTGAACTGATTATCTTTCAGGTTTTCCTATGATGCTTGATTTGAGCTTATGGTCTGAAAATTCTCCTCTTATAATGTCCTATAAAATGAATTGGAAAAAAAGGAAAAGGGGAGTGAGAAAGTACACACAAAAACACAAAGCAACAAAAACAAAAATTGCTGGAAAAGCTCAGCAGGTCTGGCAACATCTGTGGAGAGAAATCAGAGTTAATGTCTTGGGTCCAGTGACCCTTCCTCAGAACTGTTGGTAGCTAGGAAAATGTTGGTATATATAAAGAAGGTAGGGTGGGAGAGGAGGTAAGGAGTAAATGGTAGGTGGGGATAGTGCCCAATAGAGAGGAGAACAGTTAGTCAGATAAAGGAATGAATAATGATCTGGCTGGGAGGGTGAAAAGCTATTAATACAGAATGTTAGTGGCTAACAATGGAGTATGTGTAATAGCAGACTATATGATAACAAGAACAGAAATTGCTGGAAAAGCTCAGCAGGCCTGGCAGCATCTGTGGAGAGAAATCAGAATTAACATTTTGGGTCGAGTGACCATTCCTCAGAATTGCTGTGATAACAAGCCTGGTGTGTAAGGGTTGGGGTAAGGACATGGGAGAGCTCAAGCCTTAAATTTGTTGAACTCGATATTGAGTCCAGAAGACTGCAGGGTCCTGAAGCAGAAAACAAGGTGCTGTTCTTCCAGCTTGCACTGAGCTTCGTTGGAGCTCTGCAGCAAGCCTAAGACAAACATGTTGGCCAGGGAACAGGGTGGTGTTTTGAAGACGTAGCCAACTGAACACTCAAGGTCCTTTTGCGGACTGAATGTAGGTGTTCTGTGAAGTGGTCACCCAATCTAAGCTTCATTTCCCCAATGTAGAAGAAACCATATTGTGAGCAGTGAATGCAGTAGACTAGATTGTGTGAAATGCCGGTAAAGCACTGCTTCAGCTGGAAGGTATATTTGGGTCCCTGGATACCGAGGAGTGACAAAGTAAACGGAATTCCTGCAGTTGCAGGGAAAAGTGCCGTGTGCCTGGGGGCTTTTGTAAGTGAAGGAAGAGTGGATCAGTTTATCCTGGAGGAAATGCTGCGAAAGGCTGACAAGGGAGGGGAGGGGAATATGTGTCTGGTGGTGGCATCTTGCTGGAGGTGGCAGAAACGGTGGCTTATCATCCTTTGGATATGGATGCTGGTTGGATGGTAGGTAAGGGCAAGGGGGACCTATGAGTGTTGCAGGAGGGAACAGAGTGGGTAAGGGTCGAAGTGCTGGAGATGGGTCAAACCCAGCTGAGGGTCCTGTCAACAAAGATGATGGGGAATCCTCAGTTGAGGAAGAAAGTAGACGTTTTGGAGGCACCCTTGTTGAAACTGGCATCATCAGATACGATGGACACGGAGAAACTGGAAGAATGGAATGGTGTCTTTACATGAAGCAGCTGTGTGAGGATGTATAGTCAATGTAACTGTGGGTTTATAGTGGATATTGGAAACTAGCCTATCCACAGAAATGGAAACAGAGATGCCGAAGAAGGGAAGGAGGAGTCAGAGATGGACCAGGTGAAAGTGAGAGCAGGGCAGAAATTGGAAGCAAAATCAAATAAACCTTTCCAATTCTGGATGAGAGAGGGTAGCAGTACCGATGATATCATCAATATACCGGGAAAGAGTTGTGGAGATACTTATGATCCTGGGTAGATTCAAAGCACGAAGGATGAAACTTGAGTTGGAATCCACATGGGTTGAGTCTGAGCTGAAGACAGTCACTAAAGAATATGATGTGACTGTGGAAATGAGTCAAACACCAGGAGTGACAGACAAATTAATGATGGTCGACAAGAAAAAAAGATTGGAATGGAAATCCTGTTGGAGAAAGGAGCAGAACTTCTTCAATGTAGGCATGGCTGGAAGAAATGTAGCAGTCATTTAAATACTAAATAAAAATCTACCTTCTCTGCATATGTATTATGACATTTTCCTAGCTATCATCAGTTCTGAGGAAGGGTCACCGGACCGGCAATGTTAACTCTGATTTCTCTCCACAGATGCTACCAGACTTGCTGAGTTTTTCCAGCATTTCTGTTTTTGTAGTTGTGAAAATGTCAATTTTTATGCAGAAGTTGGGTTGGGCGGGAAGGGGGTGAAGAGTAAACACTTGGGAATTCTATCACCTTCTGGACTCAATATTAAGTTCAACAACTTTAGGGTTTGAGCTGTCCCATGTCCTTATCCCTATCCCTACACACTGGGCCTTGTCATCACTTTGTCTGCTATTACACACAACCCATTGTTGGCCACTAATAGTCCCCATGAATCATTATTCACCCTCCCATCTTTATTGTTATCCACTTCTTTGTTTGTCCAACTGTTCTTCTCTCTCTTTGGGCTTTATCTCAGCCTATTGTTTACTCCTTAGCCCCTCTCAGCACGCTAACTTCTGCATATAAACAACATTTTCCTCGCTACCATCAGTCCTGAGGAACAGTCACTGCACCTGAAATGTTAACTCTAATTTCTTGCCAAAGATGCTGTCAGACTGGCTGAGTTTTTCCAGCAATTTCTGTTTTTGAATAGTTTTCTCATTGTTCTTTTACTTTGTGAAACACAAAGGCAGGTTGTGAAACTGCATTGAATTCATTTGTAGGACCTGCAATAGGTAAATATCATCTTCAAAGCTGTCAATTGTTGAAAGAACATAATTGCCTCACCCATCTCCTTCAGGGAAGGAAATGTGTGACCTAATTTGGGACTACAAATTTCTGGACTCCTTGGGAGGAGAGCCACAAGTGTCCCAGTGAGTGAAGAAAAGTTTTATGCATTTGAGCTCATGCAAAACTTTCACAGAGCCACTAAAAACAAAATCTTTAACTACTGAAAAGAAGGGGGAAAGTAAGTCCATGCGAAAACATTATTTCCAAGATTCTCCCCAATCTTTTTTTTAAATTCATACAGTACCGAAAAGGCCCTTTGGCCTTTTGAGTCTGTACCACCAAAGCAACACTAAATTCACACTAATCCCTCTTTCCAGCACTAGGCCCATAGCTGCTCACACTTTTTAAACATTGGGAAATTATCCACCCAGACAGTGCATTTGAAACCCTCACCGCCCTCTGAGTGAAATTAGTTTGACTCAAATCCCCAATAAACCCCCTGTGTTTCACCTTAAATTTATGTCCCCTAGTTCATGACCTTTCAACTAAGGGGAACAGCAGCTTTCTATTCACCCTGTCCATACCCCTCACAATCTTAAAAACCACGATCAGGTCCCCCTCAACTCTGTTCCAAAGAAAACAATCTGAGCTTATCTAGCATCTTTTGATAGCTAAACTGCTCTATCCTTTGCACCCCTGCAGTGCATTCACATCCTTCCTGGAGCATGGAGGGTAGACCTGTACTTCAGCTGTGATCTGGCAAAAATTCTGTACAGCTCCAACATAACCTCAAATGATAAAGGGAAGTTGTACATAGCTGATCTGTTGAGCACGTTAATCCCCTTGAGAATCTAGATTTCTTGCTGGTCCAACATTGGATATTGCTGTTCTGCATTGTACTCAAAAGTATCCAGTATTAGATCCAGAGCTTCGCCAACATCTATCTATATTTCACAACTCTGTTGTGGAGAGGCACCTGGGTGCCTAGTGGTGTGCCTCAGGGATCAGTGTTGGAGCCATAATTATTTACAATTTAACATAGGTGATTTAGAGTTGGGATCAAGTGTAGTGTGTCAAAGTTCACAGATGACACTAAGATGAGTGATAGGACAAAGTGTTTAGAGGACACTGAAAGTCTGCAGAGAGATATAGGTAGGTTAAGTGAGTGGGAAAGGGACTGGCAGTTGGAATACAATGTTGGTAAATGTGAAGTCATCCATTTTGGTAGGAACAACAGCAAAATGGACTATTATTTAAATGGTGAAAAATTGAGCTTGCTGCTGTGCAGAGGGATCTAGATGTCCTTGTGCATGAATCACAAAATGTTAGCTTGCAGTTGCCACAGGTAATTAAGAACCCAAATGGAATATTGTCATTCATTGCTACAGGGATGAAGTTTAAAAACAGGAGGTTATCCTGCAGCTATGTAGGGTGCTGGTGAGGCCATACCTGCAGTACTATGTACAGTTTTGGTCTCCTTACTTGAGAAAGGATGTACTGGCATTGGAGGGGGTATGCAGGAGGTTCATTAGATTGATTGTGGAATTGAGAGTGTTTGCTTATGAGGAGAGAAAGAGTGGACTGGGAGTATACCCATTGGAATTTAGTAGAATGAGGGGCGATCTCAGAGAAACATATAAAGTTAAGAATGGAACAGAGAAGACAGAAGCAGAGAGGTTGTTTCCACTGGCAGGTGAAACTAGAACTAGGTGGCACAGCCTTAAAATAAGGGGGAGAAAATTTAGGACTGAGTTGAGGAAGAACTTCTTCACCCAAATGGTTGTGAATCTGCAGAATTTTCTACCCAGTGAAGCAGTTGAGGCCACATCATTGCATGTTCTTAAAGCAAAGATAAATTGATTTTTGAACAGTAAAGGACTTAAGGGTTATGGTGAGCAGCCAGGTAAGTGGAACTGAGGCCATGAAAAGATTAGCCATCATTTTATTGAATGGCGGAGAAGGCTCGACTGGCCAGATGGACTACTCCTGCTCCTATTTCTTATGTAAGCAGTACTTGCGAAAAAATTAGGCAATAAATTGCAGAACACACTGGAAATCTGAAATGAAACAAAAAACTTTGGAAATACAGAGGAAATTAGGCAGCATCCGTTGGAGAGAAGCAGAGTTAAAATTCAAGATCGGTGACCCTCAGTCAGCATCAAAAAAAAAACCCACCTAAAGCAAGTGAGTAATGGCAACTCCTGTGCCCAGAGGTCTCCGCGCCGGAGAAACTGCTCGATCCAACGCGGTCATTACCCCCATGAGCCGACAGTGCGCATGTCCGTCAGGGCCAGCCGCAGGCGGCTCCTTTGTTCCGAATCGGACTCGGCGGAAACAGCAGAAGAAACAGCACACGAAAGCAGCGACGCTACACCATCGCTGAAATGATGTCCCCTCTCAGTTCGGGAGCCATCGCCTCTTGTCCAGTGGCCTCGGGGCTCCGATCCTGAACCGCAGAGCGGCAGACGACATCACAACTGCACACTTCACCTTTCAGCTCCTTGGGAGCTGCACTACGCATGCTCCACCAACACAGGCGTCCTACAAAGAGGCGGGGATTCTCTGAACATGCGTATTTCTGGAGCATTTATCGAGCCAAATCGTATTTGTTATCGCGGAGTATTCTGGTTATATTATTCCGCCATTGATTAAGCGTGGCAGAGAAAAGTCCATTAGTCAATCAATGTTATTATAATATTAAAAATAGAAGGTACTGAAAGGTACATAGTGACTGGAACAAACACCACCATTGTACAGTGAAAAAAAATGAGAATAACCCCAACTTTTGTGTTGCATTCTGACTGATACACATGGACTGTATTCTACTCTGAAGAGCATTCTGTACAACATCATCCATCATTGTCTGCAGATGGTATAGAAGCAGAAGGAAACTATTTGGCTTATCATGTCTGCATTAGTACTTAAATGTAGTTATGAAATTAGTCCCAGTTACCTGTGCTTTACCAAAAAAAAACTTGGATATTTCTTCCCATTAACTACTTATTCAAAGATTTCTTAAACATCACTACAGACATACTTCCACAACCCTTTTGAGTGGTGAATTCTAGATTACAATAATTCAATTATTTAAAAATGGCAATTGCCTTAAATATGAGCCCTCTGGATCCTTTTGTCACTGGAAACACTCTCCTGATTTAGACTGTCAAGCTGATTCATTATTTTGAATACTATGGCATGTTTCTTTTTCACTTTTTTGTTTGAAGTAAAACAAACACAGTTGCTCCCATATCAGTATATCTCAGGCCTACCACAGCCTTGCAGGCAATCCCTTGCAGTGAGGATATTGATCGTTGGATGAGAAGAGTGGTGTGAGATTGCTGTCTCCAGCAGCTGCCCTCTGTTTTTCTCTATGTCAGCGGCTGTTCTTTCTTTTGTGGTGATTTTGAGATGGCATTTGTAACATTCCCTTTGATTCTAAGTAAATAGTCTACCTGCCATATCTCTTAGTACAGAAATTGTTTGTGTGGACCTGGTTCCCGATTCCTCACAGCATTTCAGCACAAATTAATTATATTGCTAGTTTATTAATCCAGAGGCTAGAATAACAATCTAGTGTTGTAAATGCAAACCCAAGCCCACCAGTTAGGGAACCCATTTCGCTAGAGCTAAGAATCAAAAAGGATGTAATTCCTTTGCTCTTCATTGTCCATGTGCCACAAACTAGAGGGAGATGAACACGTTTGACAGGGAATTGCAATGAAGTGCACAAATAATAGAATACTTTGAATCGAGGACTTCAGTTACTAAGCATAGACCAGGATAATCGTTGTGTCAAGAGCAGAAAACAGTAAGCATTTTTGGAATGTGTTCAGTAGAATTCTCTGGAGCAGTACATTTCCCGTGCAATGAATAATGAGACACTGCAAACCTTGTTCGTGGGAATGAGATGGACTGAGTGAATCATGCATGAGTAGGCACAGCTTTAGGAATCAATGATCATTATTTCAAAAGGTTTAGTTTGGCTATGGAAAACAACATAAACCATCTAGAATAAGAATACTTAAGTGGGAAAAAGCCATAGTGAAAGATTAAAGAATGGATCTTGTCCGGATCAATTGTACTTAAAGACTGACAGACAAAACTGTAACGATAAATAAGCTGCCTTAAAAGAAGAGTTTCGATTTCGGGCACTGTCAAGTACATTTGAATGAAATGAGAAAACAAATTTATATAAATGATTTGGATGTGAAGACAGGAGATATGGTTAGTAAATTTGCCAATGACACCAAAAGTGGTGGAGCAGTGGACAGTCGAGAAGGTTGCCTCAGTGTACAATGGGACCTTGTTCGGATGGGGTGATAGGCCAAGGAGTGGTAGCTGGAGTTTAATTTAGATAAATGTGAGGTGCTGCATTTTGAAAAGGCAAATCAGGGCAGGACTTATACACTTAATGGTAAGGTCCTGGGAAATGTTGCTGAAACAAAGAGACCTTAGAGTGCAGGTTCATAGTTCCTTGTAGATAGGATAGTAAAGAAGGCGTTGGTATGCTTGCCTTCATTCGTCAGTGCATTGAGTATAGGAGATGGGAGGTCATGTTGCAGCTGTATAAGACATTGGTTAGGCCACTTTTGGAATACTGCATTCAGTTCTGATCTCCCTACGTTAGGAAGGATGTTGTGAAACTGGAAAGGCTCAGAAAAGATTTACATGGATGTTGCCAGGGCTGGACTGTTTGAGCTATAGGGAGAGGCTGAACAGACTGGGGCTGTTTTCCTTACAGCTTCAGAGGCTGAGGGGTGACTTTAAAGAAGGTTATAAAATCATGACGGGCATAGATAAGGTGAATAGACAAGGTCTTTTCCCCACGGTATCAGAATCCGAAACTAGAGATCATAGGTTTAAGGTAAAAGGGGAAAAATTTAAAATCGACCTAAGAGGCAACTTTTTCACACGGAGGGTGGTGCGTGTGTGGAATGAGCTTCCAGAGGAGGTGGTGGAGGCTGGTACAACTGCAACATTTAAAATGTATTTGGATGGGTATATGAATAGAAAGGGTTTAGAGGGGTATGGGCCAAATGCTGCCAAATGGGACTAGATTAATTTAGGATATCTGGTCGGCATGGACGAGTTGGACCCAGGGGTTTATTTCCATGCTGTAAAGGTCAATAGCTCTTTGGCTTTAAGACAAACAAATGCAGAGCTCCCTGAATGATGAATGACATAGAGCTTAAGGTAAAGCAGGAAAAGCGAGTTTATGGCAAAGTAAAGAGTTGGATCATTCAACTGAGAATGAAATTGAATATAAAAGGTTCAGAGAGTAACTGAAACAGCACGTGAGTAAAACAGAGAAAGGGTATGAAAAGGAACTGGCAGCTGATATATAAAAGGAATCTGAATCTTCAATCTATATATAAAAAGTAAAAGAAGTAGTGGGCCAATTAGAGAACAAAAAGAAGAGACGGGCACGGGGCTGGAGACAGGGAGACTGATTAAGGCAATAATAAACAATGTGTATCTATCTTTACCAAAGAAGAAAGGACTACATGGGTTTTGATGAAAGAGGAGTAGTTTAGACACTTGAAGGTTTTAAAATTGATAAGGAAGATGTCAGGGATAGGTTATGTACAATTAGAGTTAATCGGATGAGATGCCTACAAGGATATGGAGTGAAGTTAATGAAAATTGTGGAGGTATCAGGCATAATTTTCAAATTATATTTGGATTCAGGGGTGATGCCAGAGGACTTGAGAGCTGCACATGTAACTTGCATGTTCGAGGAAAGGGTGTAAAGATAATATAAGGTACTATAAGGCAGTCAGTTTATCCTCAGAGGTGTGGAAGCTTTTAGGAGCAATAATTTGGGACATGTTAGACAAATGTAGGATAATTAAGGCTAGAAAAAAAATCGTGTTCAACTATCTTCTTTGAGTTTTTGTGAAGAGTTAACAAAGTACTGATGAAGATAAAGCTGTTGCTGTGTACTTTTGCTGTGTACTTCCATAAAACCTTTTTTGAAGTGTAGCACAGTGGACTTTAAATGGACAGCACAGACACAACTGGAAAAAAAACGCCTCTTTTGTACTATGTTCTATGCACCTAATCAACTAGAGGTTATTATAAACAGAAAAATGATCAAATACTCAACAGTCCAGGCAGCTGATAACACCTCTTGTTCACAGTCGAGATTCAGTGTCTCCCCTCTGCTTTGTTCCTACCTAGAGTCATCCAAGATTTACTGCTGAAAAACCTAACAGTGGGAATATCCATCACCATTAAGAAGGATAAGTATTCATGAGGTTTGAAGGTGGAAATATTGACAGCTGTGAATGCAGATCAAACACTGTCTATTGATTTTTTTTTAAAATAAAGTGAAACGCTTGTTATTCCCCTCTCCAGGCATTTTGCCCAGTTCCTTCTCCTCTTCCATGGGCATCTCTCCTTCTGTTACCAACCAGGTAAAATATTCATTGAAACACCATCTGACGTTCCCCCGCCCCGAAAGACACAACTGACCCTGCAGTGAAATGATTTGGTGTCTCCTTCGAAAGACTCTACTGACCCTGCTGTGAAATGATTTGGTGTCCCCCTGGAAAGACTCCATTGACCCTGCAGTGAAATAATTTGGTGTCCCCCTGGAAGGACTCCACTGAGCCCAGTCTGAGAACCACTGACTGATTCATCCCCAACACCGTCATGTAGCACCATCTCCTGCCTGTGGAGTAACATTACAGGCAGGAAGGTCCCGGGTTCCTGCAGTTCACACAGCTCATTCTACCGAGTAAGTACTTCTCTGCAATTGAGCTCCTACTTATTTCTTCCCTCCCCCTCCTTCTTTCCCCCAGCCCTACAGAGGTTCTTGCTGATCTTTCAGCTCCCAGTTCCGATACAGAATTTATTCCCGAAGTTTAACTTGTCTTCTCTCTCCACCTTTGCCTGACACCGGCCCCCATCAGTTTACAGCTGGCAGGAGGCAGGCGGACTGGGTGAAATGATGGGATGGATCCGTCAGTGCCCTTTAATCCCGCAAATTGTCAGCAGGGCAGAGTTTTTCCCATCGTCAATCCATCCCGGATGGAAAAAAATAAAGATCCTCTCAGTGAAAGTGTCGGTCAAAGTGTAGAGATGGGACATGTTGCCTGCATTGTAAAATGACACCTCTCCATCTTCATAGTCCAGGAAAACTCCGATCAGCCGGGGATTCACACTTGGGGAGGGCGGGGGGTGCGTGAGGGGGATGTGGCAGCACAATAGATGCTTCCAGCAATCAGTCTCACAAGCCAGTATCCAGTCTCAGGTTTCAGGTCGATGTCTCCTACCCTGTCCACAGACTCTCGGGCCACTCCCGCTCTCCACTCAGTCTTGTTCGCAACCCCCTCCTCCCAGTAATGTCTCCCTGTTGTGAATTCTTCCGATCCCAATACGAAGGAGCAAAGATCAAATCTCTCCGGGGAGTCAGGGAGCGGCTGCCATTTGTCTCCACGTTTCACACTTGTCTGGTCTTCTGAGAGATGAGCTGTGGGTGGGCTGTGTTCGGAACCACAGTCAGAGA